AGGGCCCCACCTTGACATGCATATCTAATTCTGATCACCTCCCCAAAGCCCTACCTCCAAACGCCATCAGCATACGGGTTAAGTGTCCAGCCCGTGAATTCTGCCAGGCACCAATCAAGCCACACACCTGCAAAGGGGTGCGACAGGGAACTGTGAGCTGCAAGCCCTGGCAGAGGCAGTGACCCAGCTGTCCTGAAAGGGCAGATCTGGGCCGCACACCCCAAATCCACTAGGTTAGTTGGAATTGCTAAGTCAGAGCTGATCTGGAGGCGGGGGCCTAAATGATGGTGCGGAGCTCTGGGTTTGCTTTTGTTTTCTATTGGTAAGAATGGTTCTAGGTTCACAGTAATATCTAGCAGAGATACAGAGATTTCCCATACACCCATGTCCACTCATGCACAGCCCCCTCCCACCCCCAATGGACCCTCCAGCACGGTCCCTTGGTCAAGGCCTACATTTGCACTGGGGCGCTCTCTCTCTCTCTCTCTCTCTCTCTCTCTCTCTCTCTCTCTCTCTCGGTCACGCACAGTCTTTGGGTTTTGGATGAGTGCATAATGACACCTATCCACACTGGCTGTGTCATGAGTAGTTTCACTGCCTCTAAATCTGCAGTGTTCCAACTAGCATCCCTCTCTCTCCCCGCCAACCTCTGACCTTTCCACTGTCTGCAGACATTTGCCTTTTCCAGAGTGACCTACAGGGCTGGGCCGGCGGTGGATGGTTCAGCAGACAACCTTTCAGAGTACCTTCTTTTGCTCAGTGCACCTGTGTTTTTAGACTGAACTCTGTGAAGCCCCTTTTGTTGAAAAGAGGTTGTGGGTCCCACGATGCTCTCTAATTGAACAGCTCCATCAACCCCTGTGGAGAGTTGGGATCCTTGTAAAGTCCCACTTGAAAGTCACTGCTCTCGTGTGACCCTCTTATTTAACAGATGACTGCCCTGGGGACCAGAGAGGGGCACAGGCTTGCCCAAAGCCATACAGCCTGTCAGCAGCAGAGCAGGATCCTCAGGGCTCCTGTGTTGTTCCTGTGCCATCGGGCTGTTGTTAAGCAGCTGTCGCCATGACTGTGTCACTCCTGCTCCTTTTGCCCTGCCTCCAGTTTCAGACAAGCCCTGTGGATTGTGACCAGGGACTGGAGCCAATCTTGCTTCTATTTTCAGCTGTCCTGCCCTGAGGTCACTCCATCCTGCTAGTTGAGCCAACCCAGATGGAAATGCCAGCATTCTTTTTGGTGGTGGTGGGTTTTTTGCTTGTTTGTTTGGTTTTTGGTCTATGTTTTTTTTTTTTCTGCTTTAGTCATTTTTTAGGTAGGATCTCCTGTGTTTGCTGAGGGGCTGGCCTTAGGCTGTGAGCCTCTTGCCTATGCCTCCCAAGTGTGTGGGATGATAGGCATGCACCACCACATCCAGCTTCTTTGTTGAGATGAGGTCTCACTAACTTTTGCCCCAACTGGCCTTGAACTGTGATCCCTCTGATCTCTGCCTCCCAAGCAACTGGAATTGCAGATGTGAGCTGTTTCTCCCAGCCTGTTAATGCCAGCATTCCTGAGTGTGCTGGGATGGGGGGGGCAATGTGGGCAGCAGGCTGGTCAATGAAGAGTAAGTTGGGGGCCCGCCCAGCACCCACATGCTGCCCCTCCACACTCCTTCTCCATCCCACACAGCACTGGCCAGTTTGGGTGCTCAAGCCAGCCCCTTCCAGCTGACCCCAGAGAAGAGGACCCTCCTGTGGGTCTCAGTTCACTGCATGGTGGAATAGAACAGAATCCTGTCACCCCGCCCAGTCACGCATCCATTCCACACCATCATCCACAGCAGGGCGATGCCAGGACTGTAGAGGACCTCCAAGGCAAAGGGGACAAACCCAGTTGCCAAAGGGACTGTGACTGTGAAATGGCCAGACAGAAGGAACTATGGAACAGCAGGGCTGCTGGCGACAATTAATTATATGTGTGCTTCAGAGCTGTTGTGAGGAGTTGTGTGACACAGTACACACACACGCACACACATGCACACGCACCCCAGCTTGGGAAACAAAACCACTAGGTCTATGAACCTGATTTGGCCTCCTCTGTTTGAAAGCCAAGCCCTGGTGGCAAAGATGAGCCTGAAGTTCACAGTGGCGCCCCAGAGCCTTCTAGACCTCTCCTGGCCTGGCCTTTCTCTCTCTCTCTCCCTCTCTCTCTCTCTGTCCCACACTATCTCCCAGAAGTGTCCAGAATCATTTCCCTCTGCCTTGCTCAGTTTCCTCTCATCTCTTATGACCTCCTTAGGCCCCTGCAGGAAGTGAAAGTCTTGAGTGAGAGCACACTTTCCTTCCGTCCTTTGTCCTATGTTTCTGGGATGCCCACGCTGGACAAAGCCCCACTTCCTTCTTTGCAGATGGTGACTGTCTCCCTGGGTCAAGTCCAAGCTCACCAGGTCCTTGTCCCCTGCTCAGGACAGTGAGCTCTTGGACACAGACCATCTGATCCCCAGACAGCCTGCAGGACTGCAGAACCTGCAAGAACACAAGCTTGTGCTTTTGTAAAATTATTGTTATTCACACACATCTGTAATCTCAGCTCTTCAGAAAGAGAAGCAGCAGAATCTCGAGTTCAAGACCAATCCAGTCTCAAAACAAAATAAAGGCCCGGGTTCAATCCCCAGAATCACACAAGAAAGTATTATTATTATTTTCAGATATCTAATGGCCTGTATGTACAACCTCTCCCCGCGCCTTTCTGGGCCAGGATCTCCCTATGTGGCCCAAGCTGGCCTTGAACTCCTGGGTTCAGCAATCCTCTTGCCTCAGCCTCCCAAGCAGCTGGGACTACAGGCATGCCCATTTGCAGCTGCCTGCTTCTTTTTGAACTTTACAGGCATGGGTTGGGCAGAGGCCCAGCTGGTGAACCACAGGGGTTCCCACTTCACCCCAAGAAACCTCCCTTGCTCTTACTTTTGTTTTTCCCTTTGAAGCTTCAGGAGTCTTTCTGTCTTGGGTCAGTTGAACACTTGGGTTCATAGCACACTGTATATTTGGTTCATGTAACACCTGTCTTCTGACCAACTTCCCTTCGTCTCTGCCCTTCTGGGCACCATTCTAATGTATGCACAGTGAGTCCTTTTTTGTGTATGCACTTTTGTAAAATATGTGCTGCTTTTTTTTTTTTTTTGGTGGAACTGGGGTTTGAACTCAGGGCTTCACACTTGCAAAACAGGCTCTCTAAAGCTTGAGCCACATCTCCAGTCCATTTTGCTCTGGTTATTTCAGAAATGCCAACTATTTGCCTGGGCTGGCCTTGAACCTCCATCCTCCCAATCTCAGCTTCTCCCAGGTAGCTAGGATTACAGATGGAAGTCACAGGTGCCTGGCTCTGTGCGTTGTCCTTTTATGTGCACCCGTGACCCCTGCACACCTGTTTCTTGCCTTTTCCCTTTGTGCTATGTTAAGATTTGCACGGGTTGCTTCTTCTGCACTTGGTCTTTGCTTTTGATCACCATGTTGTCCTTCAAGGAGTGCTGTGGCCACTTTCTAGCGAGGAAGGTGACCCAATGTGAGCATCCTCAGATGTGTCTCTTCCTGGAGTTGTGTGACTGAATGGATGGGTTGGTGGATCAACACATCCTTAGGTATTGTAATTGATTCTAGATGGTTCTCTGGAGTGCCACACCAGTAGTATTCCACCCACCCGTGTGACCAACACTTGGTATTTCCCAGACTCCCAGTGTTTGTCAGTAGGACTGTGTCAAGTGTCACTTTGCTGTCTTAATTTTGGATTTACATCTTAGTGCCACTTTCTGGATATATCACTTGAGGCAAGTTGTGCAACCCAATGAGGTAGACACTCTGCTGACCAAATGTAGTTACTCTAGAGCCCAGAGAGGCCAAGTAAATCACATGAGGTCACACAGCATGGAATGGGCATTTGAACCCAGAGCCATGGTCAACCATCATAGCATGGTTACCATGTTTTATCTGTTTTGTAAGATATCACCTGGGTCTGCAGCCCAAGTTCCTTGTCAGGGCTGGGCCTAAACCCTGTCTAGGGTCCTTAAGAACTGAGCCAGTGACTTTCATGAAGGAGCTGCTCAGTAAATATCATTTCGTGAATCGTTTGGAAGGGGAACTGGAAAGACTTCTTTCCACTTGGGGTTTATCTGGAGGACCTCAGGGCACCTGAGGAAAAGGGGGACTCATGAGATCTGTTGTCCTCACAGAGGGAGCTTGGGGGATCTCATCATGATAGATGAGTGTTCTTGAGTTCCTGGCTTTCCATCCCCATCCGTCCTCTGGAAGCAGCTCGACACAAGGCTGGAGAGCGGTGGTTTTGGGGAGAGCTTGCTGGAGGCTGAGGGTTGTGTGCTGGATGGACATGGTCCCTGGACTCACAGGGCTCTGACCTGTGCCACGTGCCCTGTGCTGGACAGCTAAGCGGGATTTCCCCTCTGCAGTGGAGTGATCAAGGTCACCTCTGTCACCAACAACTGTCCCCTGCAGGTGGGGGAAAGAATCCAATTAGGAGCCTTTGCAGCCCTCCCTGAGCACGTGTAGGCATGGGCAATGTGGCTCGGGGGACACCGGGAGGTCCCAGGCCAAGACCCAAGTAGAGCTCAGCATGGCAGCGAGGCAGCCTGGGTGTTGTGGTGAGATCTGGTCCAGATTCCATAGACATCTCAGCAGAGTCCCCACTCTGATGCCCCCTAACACAGAGAGAGAGCTTCGTTTCACCCTGGGCCTCGTGTGTGGCTGGCACGCGATGCAGGGACCACCCTTGGACTTTTGGTGGCCCTGCCAGGGAAGCTTCTGTCTCCAGAGCAAACAGTGGGAAAACTGGTGCTCAGAGAGGGTGAGTAACGTGCCCAAGGCCTCCCAGCCGCAGTTGAGCTCTGGTCTTCTCCCACCACCCTAAGCACAGAACCTTGGTCCACTTCCTTGGGCTGCCTTGCTCCAGCCCTCACCAGCTCTCTAAGTTTCTGCAGCACCCTGTGACACACCCGGGTGTGTCTTTCCTTCCAGGCGGTGGACAGCTTGCAGCCATGGAGCTGGGGTTGCCAGAAGGCGGGTATCTGGAGCTCCTGCACAGCGACATGGATCCCCTGCACCTCTTCCACTTCTATGACCAGATGGACCTGGCCGGTGAAGAAGAGATTGAGCTGTGCTCAGGTGGGTCTCCTCCCTCTGCCTCTCTCATCCCTCGCACCTGTCAGCCCCCAGCCCTGGGCTCCGGTCAGCACCACGGACAGCTCCCTCCTCAAGCCCAATGTCCCCAGCCTGCCCGCCCCTCCCTCTCTCCCTCCCAGCCCTCTTCTCAGACCTTCCCTGCTTCATCCAAGGGTCTTCTCCCCCCAGAGCCTGACACAGACACCATCAACTGCGAGCAGCTCACTAAGCTGCTGTGTGACGTGGATGGGGATGAAGAGACCAAGGAGGCTTATGCCAATATTGGTAAGGACACTCCAGAGCCCAGAGACAAAGGACCTTTTCACCCAGAGCCACGGCAGAAATCACAGCAAGGGAAACAATGCAGAACTAGGGCTGGAAGAATGGGACGCAGGGAAGAAGGGAAAGTAGCCAGGTGTGGTTGTGCATGCCTGTAATCCCAGCATTTGGGATGGGTGGAGGCAGGAGGATCTTGAGTTCTGAGTCTGCGGAAGGAAGAGGAAGGATTAGGATCTCAGCCTGACAGATGAGGAAACAGGTTTGGAGGGCGCAGGCTTTGTGACAGATGATAAGGGCCAGGTCTAACGCAGAGCTTCTTCATTTCAAAGTCCCCGGGTTGAGCCACAAAAAGGAAGTGACAGATTTGCTAACCGTAAGTTGCAGAGCTGGTGTGTGGCTTTAAAAAGAGTTCAGCTTTCCGACAGGGCAGGACTCCAAGGAGAGCAGGTGATGTCATCGGTGTGGGTATGGCTGACTTTGGGGACACGTGGCAGAAAGTCAGAGAATCCTTTCTCACTAGGGTCACCAGAAAAAAGTGACCCTCTTTTTTGGTTTTGGATTTTTTTTGGGCAAAATGCATCTGCTCCTTGTAAGGAAGTAACATCTTGGCTGGCAAAATGTGATTTTGGATTTCTGCCCACTTGCCCTCTTGGCTGGGCACCTTGTGCAGTGAGCAACCTGAGCAACTGTTCTGAGTAGCTTTCTTCCTAGCAAGCCAGGATCTGCATGGCACAGATGTCAGCAGTTAATTGAATGCCACAAAAAAAGCAGAAATGGAGGGATCAGTAACTGTGTGTGGAACTCACAGCAGTAAAGGCCTCCATGGTCCCGATCCTGCCTTGGAATTTGCTGGCTGCCTCATGTAGGGTCTGCCCCAGCCTCCGGCTGTGTAAACATCCGTTAGGTGTCAGGTCCCACCGCAGCCTCTCCTTCCTTGTCATTATCATTACCGCCTCTGCTCCATCCCTCAGCTCCAAAGTCTTCCATGGCTCCCAGTTGCCCAGCATGAGATGCTGTGTTGTCATTTGTCCCTCAGTTTCCCAGACACTCCTGAATACCTCACCTCGCTCTGCACCCCTCCACACACACCCAGAAAGCCCTCCACTCTCCTCTTCCGTCACTCTGCCCCATGTGTTCTGAGCCCCTTCCTCTGGGAGGTCCTCCTTGGTTTCTCCTTGGGTTTTTTTTTTTTTTTTGCCAGTACTGGAATCTGAACTCAGGGCCTTGCAGTTGCAAGGCAGGTGCTCTACCACTTGAGCCACACCTCCGGCCCTTTTTGCTTTAGGTATTTTTTAAGTAGGGTCTTGTGATTTTTACCCAGGGCTGGCCCAACCATGATTCTACTAGTTATGCTTCCTGATCCATTAGTTGAGATGGGGTCTCACTAGCTTTTTACCAGGGGTGGTCTCAAACTATGATCCTCCCAATCTCGACTTCCTCAGTAGCTGGAATTACAGGTGTGAGCCACCAAGCCTGATCAACACTATACACTCTTTTTTGTGACCTGCTGCCATGACAACTGTCTTCCTATTGGCTCCAAGTTAGGCACCACTTCACACAATTAACCACCATTTATGGAGTGCCTACTGTGTACTGCTGCTGTGCAAATGGTTTGGATGCAAAGCATTTGTTGTCACCATTCCTCTCTGGAAAGTAAGCATTATTTGTTCTCCTTACATGGATGAAGAAATAGGGACCCAGAGAGGTTAAGTAACTGGCCCAAAGTTGCCCAGCTAGCGTGGCCACTGGAGAAGAGAGGTAGAATTTGAACTCAATCCCCAAGCCAACTCTACAGCTCTGCCTCGTACTAGTTAATGGCAACAGGTTGGTTTTCATGGCATGCTCCTTGTCCCTTCAGTTAGATTGAAAAACCTGTGAAGGGTCATTTGTTAATTCATTTGATCATTTATACATCCAGCAGCATTTATTGAGCCCCTACTATGTGCCAGGCACGAAGGGACGAAGCTCCCCAGCGCTTAGCCTGAGGCCTGACACGCAGGAGGCCATGGGAGAGTTTGTTGATTGTGCGTTTCCTTGTCTGCTCAGCGGAACTGGACCAGTACGTGTTCCAGGACTCCCAGCTGGAAGGCCTGAGCAAGGACATTTTCAGTAAGTTGAGGGGATGTCGTGCATTTCTTCCTGTGTGCATGGGGATTACCATCAAGTCTGAGGGCCACCCTCCCCAGGGTGGGGACAACAGTGGCTTTTGGGGGCTTCTGTGATTATGAGACTTGGTCTCTGGTTTCTCTCCAAAGTAGAGCACATTGGATTGGATGACGGCATCAGCGAGAGTATGGAGGTGCCAGCAGAAGCCGGGCAGAGAACCCAGAAAAGACGTGAGGAAGCCCTCCCTGGCCAGCCCCCTTTCCTTGGCTCCAGAACCTGCTGCTGCCCCCAGTAGCTTCTCTTGTCAAGCCCTGTCCACCTCCCTTGGGTTTGGGGCCCCGCTGGCTCTTCCTTCACCACTGCTCACTGGTGACCCAGGGAGTAGATAGATGGCCTAGGGACAAATGGCCACTGTCCTGGAGGGGTTCTGCCCCTATGGCATTGATCACCACTCCCAAAGTAGTCTTTGGATTCTGGCTTCTCCCTCGCCCTGACAGCTGAAGGATATCAGTCTCTGCAGGAGAGATTTGGGCCTCAGCAAGAATGGGGTGGAATCTGGGTCTGCTACCTATGGGCAATGTGACCTTGGCAAGGACTGAGCCTTCTCCCAGGCTCCCTGCCTCCTTAGTCTGTCCTCACTTGGTTACTGCCCTGTGTGATCCGCTCTTCGTCTCTTCATTTAACACGGCTGGAGGGCATTCTTAGATTACTGTCCCACTTCCGGGGCTTTCCTCTTTCTTTCCTCTTTCCTTTCTTTTTCTGGTGGTACTGGGATTTGAACTCAGGGCCTTGCACTTGCTAGGCAGGCACTCTACCACTTGAGCCACACCTCCAACACTTTTGCTTTAGTTCTTTTTCAGTTAAGGGCTGTGATAACCTCCTAACTGTGCCTCTTGTGTAGCTGAGATTACAGAGATACCCCACCACACCTGGTTTGCCCTTCCTTCCTTCCTTCCTTCCTTCCCTCCTCCCTCATCCATCCCTCCCTCCTTTTCTCCCTGCCTCTCTCAATCTCTCTCCCCTCGTCTGTCCTTCCTTTCTTTTTCCTCCTTCTCCTTCTCCTTCCCCTCCTTCTCCTTCCTGCCCTCTCTTTATTATGAAAAATTTCAACCTACAGGGCAGGTGACTTCCGTACACCCACTACTTGGATTCTACAATTGGCTTCAGGCTGTATTTTGCTTTCTCCCACCCTGTCCACCTGTCCATTCCTCTCTGCATCCACCCATTCACCTTTCCATTCTATTTTGGCACATTTTAAAGTAAATTTGGGGCCCTGGTGCTTATCTCTCAGCCTCCTTGTCCTCTATTAAGGTTGCTTTACTGAGTGACGTCCATAATCTGCTTAATCGGTCCCTTACTAAGGAACACAAGGGACTTAATTTTTTTTCTTTTTCTTTTCTTTCTTTCTTTTTTTTTTTTGGAGGGCAGTCTGGGGTTTGAACTCAAGGGTGCTGTACCACTTCAGCCCCACCTCCAGTCCATTTTGCTCTGGTTATTTTGGAGATGGCCCCCTTTCTGGGAGCCACTGATCTCAGTGTTCTCTCTGTAGCCTTCCCAGAGGAGCACCCCGCAGACCTGAAGCACAGAAAGCTAGGTGAGTGGGGCAGGTGGGCCCAGGGGAAGCTGGGAAGCTGAGACCTCCTCAGGTGCCATACAACCCCTCTTTGAGAGCTCAGGCCCAGAGACATGCAGTCACCTATCCAAGATCACACAGCTGCAGAGCCAGACAGGATGCAAACCAGGATGGCAAACTCAGCCACGCTCTGCTGTGTGTGGGCTGCTGGGAGATTCCATTTCTCCCACTCTGCCCCCTCCTGTCAGTCTCTCCCTTAATGCCTCCAAGTCAGAGCTGAGTGCTGCCCCTGCCTCGCCCCTCACTCACCACCTCCCACCAGGTGCTTCCTCCTCCTTCCACCCCCCTTAGTTGTTATTATGGCCAGGGAAGAGGAGACAAAAAATGAAAGCCTGGTCCCCGTCCTCAGATGGCTCCCATCTGGTCACGGGCACAGGGATGCTGCCCTTGAGATGCCAGGACGATGGAGAAGTGGTCACAGTCCTCCAAGGCCTCCCAAGTGATGATGGGGCAGAGGCCTCTGGCCTGGCACATCCTACTTAAATGGAGATTTACACCCCGCCCCTGCCCACCGAGCAGATGGGAGGGCAGGGGGACACATGGTGCAGCCCCACCCTTCTTTGAGCAGAGCCCGAGTGCTGGGGCCCTTTAGAGTCCCCCAAAGGACATGGGAGGGGCTGGCCTGTTCATAGGCTCTGTTCTAGCCCAGACCTCTGCATGGGACCTCTAGTGTCTTTCTCTGGGCCCAAGTGCAAGGACAGAAGGGGAGGCTGCCAACAGAGCGGTGATGATCAGCCCAGCTGCAGCTGGGGGCCAACAAGGGGGCAGGCATTTCCTCTAACGGCCACCCCAGAAGTCCCTCCAGGTGTCCACCCAACATCTAACAAAACCTCATCCCCCACAGTTGAGTCCCCTGCTGTACCCATAGTGACTGGCAGTTTCCTAGTTGGGCCAGCCAGCAGCTCCACCCTGATCTGTCCGCCACCACCTGCTCCATTCAGCCAAGAGCCAGCACTGGGCCAGACTGGCCTGGAGGAAGCTGTCCTGGTGCCCGGTATGTTTGGGGACTGGAGAGGGTGGGCTTCCTCATTCCTGGGAGCTGGCTAAGGAGCTGGCATCTGGTTAGGAACAGCAATCTCCTCCAGCAGGGTCACCACCTCCTCTCCGGCTGGCTGCATCCTCTGATCCCATCCCACTCAGCCCCCAGTGGGAAACACCTTAGAAGGAATTGCCTCCATTAGTCTGTCCGTCTATTCGGATGGGAGATGGGAGGGAGTCCCCACCCATCAGGGAATTCCCCTGCCAGCCCCGTTTCTCATCACCTCTCCAGGGGACACTCCCATGGATGGGACAGGCCTGGCCACGGTTCTCAGGGAAGTTAGATTTGGACACTCACCATAGTCAGAAAACAGAATGGCAAACACAGTGCCAGGGAAGGTGCCACCTCATTGCCTTTGTCTCTTGCAGTGCCCCCATCCTGGTCCTCCGTGAGCTGCCTCAGTCTCCCTGCTGGGCCCTTGCAGTTCATCTCCACTGTCCCCACCCTGCCCCAGGGACTCTGGGAAATCCCAGGAGTGGGGACAGGGCTCTCGGGTATTGTTATCTGCCATGGTGAGTGTGTGACCCCCCAGCCTCCTCTCCCTCCCACCTGATCACTCCCTGATCTCGTGCTCCCCAACCTCAGGCATTTGACAAGTGTGGCACAGCAGTTTGTCATGACCCTCCCTCCCCCGCACGTTTCTGTAGCCCCTTCCCCCAAAACCAAAGCAGGGCAACACTGCTCCCTGAAGTGGTCTGGTTGTGTGACGGCGTGACTGAGAACTGCCACACAGCATTCCATGTGTCACTTTCCCCCTCTGACTCATAGTTTTTTTCTTCTTTTTTTTAAACTTTATTTTCAAGTTGTAACATGAATACATGCTCATTAATAAGACAAACAATAAGAAGGCTTATGAGAGTTAACTTTTTTTTATTGCTGTGCTGGGGTACATGGTGACATTTACAAAAGTTCTTACGCTGTATCACAGTTGAATTTACCCCCCGTCATTCTCCCCTATCCCCTCTCCCCCCATTCCTGGAATGGTTTCCTTTTTCCATTTACATTCATGTGCTTAGTGCTAACTCTTTCAGTATGCTGATGTGAACATTTTGGTGTGCATCCTTGCATAGCTTTTTCTGACTTTTTTTTTTTTTTCCTGATCTGGCAAACTGTCCCAGCTGACTAGCCAGGCTGAGAGGCTGTGGACAGGCCCAGGGAAGGCATGTCTGGACTGTCACAGACGAGGCAGGAGGACGCTTCTGCTCACGTTGAGAGCATCCTTTCTTGGCTCGTGCCAGTTTCTGTATACAAAAAGAAAGGAACAGGAAAACGAACACTGGCCATCTGGTGGGAAGGACGCCATAGCAGCGCCTACCCCTGGGCTCGCTGTGAGCTGACTGTGTCCATTTCACAGGGCTGTCACTCCACAGCCCTTTCCTCTGTGTCACCCTGAAATGTCTTCCTTGGGAAGTTCCCGCTGCTCTCCAGAGATGTGCCAAGCTCCCCAGCTTGCTTTGGGGTAAGGGTGACCCACGTGGCCTCCTGGATCGGTCCCTAATGACTGTCACACCCTCTCTACTTTCCTTGTAGGTGAGATGCCCCATGCCAGCCAAGCACCCCCTTCCAGTGGCCCTGCTGTTCACAGTGTCCCAAAGTCCCCAGACCGGCCTGGCTCCACCAGTCCCTTTGCTCCATCTGCCGCTGACCTGCCCGGCATGCCGGAACCGGCCCTGACGTCCCGTGCAAATTTGGCAGGTGGGGATCAGGGGCCTGCAAGGGTCACTAGAAGCAGAAGTGGGGTCCAAGGAAGGCAGTCAGAGCTGCCTGCAGCAATAGGCAGATCGCAGACACAGGTGAACAGGTAGAAGAGAGGGTCTCAGGGAGTAGAGGGTGTGGCTGGGGATGGGGTGACAGCTGGAGGATCTGTGTACCCAGTGTGGCCACCAGCCTCCAGCAGGAAAACAGGCCCAGGGTGGCCAGGGCTTCAGAAGCTAGGAATCAGTTTTTACCCGGCTGCAATGATTGTTTAAAACATTGGGAAGTTGTTTTTAAAAGCACAGCCAGCCAAAATAAAGATGTCAGATACAGATACAGAACTCGGGGGACTCAGCCACGTGGGGTCTCTGCCCTCGGGGTGCTCTGAGGACTAAGTGGCTCAGAGGGAGGGAAATCCCTGGGTGCTCCCCAAACCTTAATGTGACATTAGTTTCTCCATCTGCAGAGGACAAAATGTCCTCCTCCCCACGCCAAGTGTGTCCAGAAGTCTCCATCAAGCTTCCAAAATGGTCTGGTGAGTGGTGGCAGGGCCTGATGTCCTGGGGATGCTGGGCACAAATCCCAAAGCAGCCTGCTGACTCATTCATCATCCATGCACTCGCTCCTTAGTTTTGCCATCATTTCATGTGCACCTCCCCATGTGACCCAGCACGGGGTTCAAGGCTGAGATAATGGAAGAGTCCCGGGAGAGTGGATGGCTGAGTGAGTGGATGAAAGAAGTCGAGGAGTGTGGAGTGATGGAAGGAGGTGCAAGAGAGAAGAAGAAAATGGCGAGCTGGGCATGGTGGTACATGCCTGTAATCCCCACACTCGGGAGGCAGAGGCAGGAGGATCTCCAGGTCCAGGCCAGCCTGGGCTACGTAGTGGGACCCTGTCTCAAAAGCAATAAAACCTAGATCTGTAAGCGCTGCCTTCCACTTGCCCCATGAACATTTCATAGTTCAGTCATAGACATGCCTGCAATCCCAGTCTTGCCCGTTTTATTGGCGAGGATTCTGAGGACCAATAGGGTTCCTAAGGCCCTCAACACCACGCTGCATGGTGGAGCTGGGATTTGAACCTAGGCCCGTGGGCTCAACTGTCTTAACTTTTACAAAAAATTTTTTGATGGTACTGGAGTTTGAACTCAGGGCTTTTGCGCTTGCTAGACAGGTGTGCTACCACTTGAGCCACTCCCCCCAGTCTTTTCTTGCTTTAGTTATTTTTCAAGTAGGGTCTTGAATTTTTTGCCCAGGGCTGGCCTCACACCTCAGTCCTCCTACCTGTGGCTTCCCCAGTAGCTGGGACCACAGATGTGGTCAATAAACCATGCCCAGTTTATTGATTGAGATGAGATTTTGCTAAGTTTGTTTGTTTGTTTGTTTGTTTTTGCCCAGGCTGGCCTCAAACTGCCATCCTCCTCTTTGCCTCCCAGACAGCTGGGATAACAGGCATGAGACTACACCTGGCCTCTCCATTGTTGTAACTCTTAAGCCTGTCTATAGGGGAGTGAGTGACTAAAGGAATGAATCCTGGCATGAAAGGGGCTGGGGCGGAGCTCATTGGCAACACTTGCCTAGCACGCTAGAGACCCTGGGTTTGAGTCCCAGCACTGCACAAAAAAAGAAAAGGAAAAACATAAAAGGAATGACTAGAAGATGAGTAAATGGAAGCATATGTGAGTGAAGGAAGGGAGGATAGATGGATGGGTGGATGGATGGATGGGTGGGTGGGGGCTGAATGATGACCCCATGAAGACCATGTGGGGAGAGGATGGTGAAGCTGGCTGCCTGCGCGTCCCCATCCGCGACAGACGCACCCCTTGGCCTTTGCAGAGACAGTGAAGCAGTTCTGCCACTCACTGCAGGACAAGTATCGTGCTGAGCCCACAGGCCCGGAGGGCTTCCTGGTGGAGGTGGGGCTGATAAGGGCCAGGCTGGAGAAAGGCAGCAACAAGAGCCAGGAGAGGGAGCTGGCCATACTGGACTGGGCGGAGCGGCAGCCGGCCAGCGGGGGTCTGGCCGAGGTGCTGATGGCTGCGAATGACCGCCGACGACCACGGCAGACGCGAGTGATTGCCGTGCTGGGCAAGGCTGGCCAAGGAAAGAGCCACTGGGCCCGGTCAGTGAGCCGGGCCTGGGCCTGCGGCCAGCTCCCACAGTATGACTTTGTCTTCTACGTCCCCTGCCATTGCTTGGACCGTCCAGGGGACACCTACCGTCTGCAGGACCTGCTCTGTCCCCCGGGCCTACAGCACCTGGCCTTGGACGACGAGACTGTCAGCCATATCATAAGGAGGCCCGGCCATGTCTTGCTCATCCTGGATGGATTTGAGGAACTTGAGGTCCAGGATGGCTTCCTGCACAGTGCGTGCGGACCCGTGTCCCCAGAGCCCTGCTCCCTGCGGGGACTGCTGGCTGGCGTGTTCCAGGGGAAGCTGCTGCGAGGCTGCACGCTGCTCCTCACCGCCCGGCCCCAGGGCCGTCTGGTCCAGAGCCTCAGCAAGGCCGACGCCCTGTTCGAGGTGGCCGGCTTCTCGCCGGAGCAGGCCCAGACGTACATCAGACATTACTTTGAGGACTCAGGGACAACAGAGGGCCAGGAGAGGGCCGTGGCACTCCTACAGGACCAGCCGTTTCTCCTCAGCCATGGGCACAGCCCTGCCCTGTGCCACACGGTGTGCCAGCTGTCCAAGGCCCTGCTGGACGGGGACACAGAGGCAAAGCTGCCCTGTACACTCACGGGACTCTATGTTGGCCTACTCAGCCCTGCGACCCGGGACAGTCCCCCGGGGGCCCTGGCAGGGCTGGCCCAGCTGGCCTGGGACCTGGGCCGCAGACACCAAGGTACCCTTCGGGCAGCTCAGCTGCCATCGGCAGAGGTGAGGACCTGGGCGGTGGCCAAGGGCTTGGTGCAGCCGGTGCCTGGAGTCTTGGAGGCTGAGCTGGCCTTTGCCAGTTTTCCCCTGCAGTGCTTCCTGGGGGCCGTGTGGCTGGCCCTGAACAGTGACATCAAGGACAAGGAGCTGCCTCAGTACCTGGCATTGACCCCGAGGAAGAAGAGGCCCTATGACAACTGGCTGGACGGGCTGCCTCGCTTTCTCACCGGGCTCATTTTCCAGCCTCGTGCCCACTGCCTGGGGGCCCTGCTGGGGATGGCGGTGGCCACGGTGGCTGACCGGAAGCGCAAGGTGCTCACCAGGTACCTGAGGCGGCTGCAGCCGGGGACACTGCCGGCCGCGCGGCTGCTGGAGCTGCTGCACTGCGCCCACGAGGCACAGGAGCCCGGGCTCTGGGAGCACATGGTGCGCCAGCTCCCCGCCAGCCTGTCCTTCCTGGGCACCCGGCTCACGCCCCCCGATGCACAGGTCCTGGGCACGGCCTTGCAGGCGGCCGGCCGAGACTTCTCCCTGGACCTCCGCAGTACTGGCATTGACCCCTCTGGACTGGGGAGCCTCGTGGGACTTGGCTGTGTCACCTGCTTCAGGTGAGGGCAGGGGCTCAGGGAGCTCTTGTTCTATGTGCATGGTGGCAGGTGGGGTGGCAGGAGACCTCCCATTCTTAAGATGAGGACCAGGAGGCTCAGAGAAGGGTGTCTGCTTGCCTAGGGCCACACAGCCAGGGAGGGACAGTGCCACTCTTCTGACCAGTATTCGAAGGCTTGCTACATGCCAGACACTGGGACATGTCCAGAATCGAAGGCTGACCTGGGTTCAAATTAATTTTCTCCCCTCCATTCCCTGATTCAGCCTCCATTTTCTCATGCTTAGATTAAAGCCTCTATCTTCACCTTGGCCTCTCTGCCTCCATTCTCTTCTCTTTCACTTCACTTTATTTATTTTTGGTGGGACTGGAGTTTGAACTCAGGGCTTCACGCTCGCAAAGCAAGAGTTCTACCGCTTGAGCCTCCAGTCCATTTTGCTCTGGTTAATTTGGAGATGGGAGTCTCGCAAACTATTTGCCTGGTGAATGAATGGTGATCCTTCTGATCTCAGCCTCCCACATAGCTGGGATTACAGATGTGAGCCACCAGGCCTGGCTCCACTCCATTTTATATTAAATCATATCCCCCCTCTGCCTCAGGGTCACTCCTCCCACATTCCCCTCAGGATTCCTTCATTTGGCTTGCTTAAGTCCTGCTTTCTCCCCCTCAGCATAGTCTCCAGAGAACTGCTCTCTAATTCCCCCCCAATCATATTTTACCCAAGCTGGAAGGTCTCACATAACTGAACCCAGAATTTAGCTTCCTGGTGGCCAAGGCAAAAAGGAAAACAAAACCACTGTGAGAATTTTGAGAAAGGAAGGATCAATCAGGGTTGGAGTAGTCACAGACGGCTTTTTGGAGGAGGTGTCCAAGTAGTAGGAAGCCCCCTCATGGCGCTGCCTGGTCACTGAGCCCTCTCTCCACAGGGCCGCCTTGAGTGACACAGTGGAGCTGTGGCAGTCCCTGCAACAGGGTGGGGAGACCCAGCTCCTCCAGGCAGCAGAGCAGAAGTTCACCATTGAACCGTTTAAGGCCAAGTCCCCGAAGGACGTGGAAGATCTGTGCAGCCTGGTCCAGACCCAAAGGTGAGGGAGGCGGGGACGGGAGGGTCCAAGTGGTGCAGGACAAGGACCTGTGGGACCCTTGATCACGTTTGCTGTTGCTTTTCTAGCACCTGCTGTCGACAGGGGTGTCCTATGCCCTCCCCCTGGACAACAGCCACCTAGGACCTCCACTGCAGCTGCCACCCAGCCCAGGCTGTCACAGTTTTACCCTTTGCCCCTTCAAAACCTGCCGTTAGGTGGTGCACACCTTCCACCCAGCTATGTGGGAGGTGGAGACCGGAGGATTGGGGCCCTGGGCAAAAACGAGAGACCCTACCTGAAAAATAGCTAAAGTAAAAAGGGCAGGGGCACAGCTCAAGTGTCACAGCTCCTGCCTAGCACGTATGAGGTCCTGAGTTCAAATCTCATTCTCGCCACAATAAAACCAACCAACCAAACCAACAAAACACAAGCTGTGGTAGCCCTAGCTCTTTCCCAACCAAAGCCACAGAGAAAATTCCCTGCTGTGGCCCAGTGAGAACAGGTAACAGAAGTGACGCTACTGCTCCCTCTGGGGGACACAGGACCAGGGTTACCCCCATTTTATACGTGGCAGAGCTGAGGTGCCAGGTGCCGAGGGCGGAAGAGACCTGGCTCATTGCGTGAGCGCCTGCTGTGTGCTGTGTGAGCGAGTGCTGTTGACTGCCCTCTCTGAGTCTCTTCTCATAAAACTCGGCCCCAAGATGCTTCTTTCTAGCAGAGGGTCACCCACAGCCACAGGGAAGGCCATCTTCCTGGGGATTTAGGGGACAGGGACATTGAGGGGTGGCCCCGTGAACATGGCCGTCCCCTCCAGGTTGAGAAGCTCCTCGGAGGACGCAGCTGGGGAACTTCCTGCCATCCGGGACTTGAAGAAGCTGGAGTTTGCGTAAGTGGAGGGAATTGTGTGGGCACATGGTGGTCCCCAGAATCATTCTCACCCTCTGGCCACAACGTCAGGAACCAGCCACCAGCAGGTGGGTGTGGCTCACTGGGACAAGTGCTGGGGATTTTTGGATTGGAAGTAAGTCAGCCCCTTTTGCTCTGGTTATTTTGGAGACAGTCTTGCTTTTAGACTTGTATTTGCACTTCCTGTGTAGCTGGGGTCACAGGCATGTACCACCACACCCAGCTTGTAGCTTGAGATGGGGGTCTTGCTAACTTTTTGCTGGAATTGACCTAAACCACAATGCTCCTGAGCTCTGCCTCCTGAGTAGGTGAGACTACAGGCATGAGCTACTGTGCCTGGCTCCCAACAGACTTGTTGAGCACACACTTGAAAGACCAAGGCTATTGAACGTGGTGAGCTTAGCTAGTGAGCTCCCTTCAGGAGGAGGTCTGGGGGCTTCCCGGAGGAGGTGACATCAGCATGGAAGCTTGACGGAGGATTAGGAATGAACCAAGTGGGGAGGCCAGGTGGGGATCGGAGGAAGCCTCCCACAGAAGGATAGCACCGTGACAATAGTGGGGCAGACCAGGGAGGGTGGAACTCATGGTTTGCTCATTTGCTCTGCTGTGGCCAGGGATTGAGTTCTACCCTTTGTGCCTGGACATACCACACCCATGGCCAAGGGCAGGACACCCTGGGTGGGGGAGAACAGCCTGGTTACCTTCTGCTGCCACACGTCTGTTCTACCTGACACGCTGGTTCCCACGGGGCTCCACTCTCCACATGCTCAGCCCACCCACCCCAGTGGCCCTGGGCTCTTGTGACAGTTTGGAGGGTTCCTGAATGAGTAGCTCAGGTGAAAACCTTTGGTGACAGGCGAACTCTACATGGGTCACCCTGTGTGCAGCCAGGTCTGGGAGCCAGGCTACCTGGGAGACAGAAATGGAGACACAGTGTGTTCTAGGGAGCCTGGGTGCCTGGGTCACAGTGGAGGGGCAGCCCTCCCTCAATACCAGGCCCCAGGGAGCCCAGGAGTTATGGTACTTGGAGCAGAGATTTTCAGTTGCAAAGCACTTTCACCCCATTATCCCAGGCAACCCTTCCCCCATATTACCATCTGTCCATTGTTCAGAAGGGGACACTGAGGCCCAGACAGGTTAAATTGTTTCCCCAAAGTCATAAAAGTCAGATGAGCCTGACTCTGAGCTCCAACCAAGGTAGAAATTCAGTCAACCTGGTGATGTGGCTCAAGTGGTAGAGCGCCTGCCCAGCAAGCTCAAGGCCCTGAGTTCAAATCCTAGTACTTCCACAAAAAAATCAGTGTTTGGTCTTTGTTAGGAAGGGGTCATCACCACCTAGAAGGTGCTCAGAGCATTTTATACAAAATCCCATTCGTAGCAGGTACGGGTGGCTCACGCCTGTAGTCCTAGCCACTGAGGAGCAGAGATCAGGAGGATCGAGGTTCGAAGTCAGCTTGGGTTTGAAATAGTTCACGAGACCCTATCTCAAACAAACCCATCACAGAAAAGGACTGGTGGAGTGGCTCAAGGTGAAGGTCCTGAGTTCAAACCCCAGTACTGGGGGAAAAAAATGCCATTCGTCACAGGAGGTGCTCTGGAAGACGGTCATTATTGTTCCTAGTGGACAGATAAGGAAACTGAGGCCTAGCCAGATTAAGGTGAGCCAGGCCCAACTCATCACTACTAGCTAACAGTCCCCCCAACATTACAGCTTCCCAGCACCCCCAGAAAAAGCCAGACACATCTTGTTTTCAACAGAAGATTGAGGCAAATGTGTGCAGAGGTAAAAATATTGCTGAAAGGAGGAAATGCCTGAAGACCGCTGCCGAGGCCTTCGTAGGCTGGGAACTATTTTCAGCCTAAAAAGCCCCGAGCTCAAGGTCGGAACTGCGCTCTGGGGAACAGCAGCCATGGGGTGGAACAGCCAGGACAGCGAGGGCCGTGCGACAGCAAGCTGGGGGCCAGAGCCCCAAGCAGGTTCTGAGGAAGGAAGGAGGAAGGAAGGGGCTATTCTGGGCTTCTGCCGCCGCCTGGGGCCTCTCAGAACCCCGCAGGGAAGGCACACATGCGGGGCCTTCCTTTCACCCCAATCCTCACCTCCTCATCCCCACCCTCACCTCCTCACCCCCAATCCTCACCTCCTCACCCCCAATCCTCACCTCCTCACCCCCACTCTCACCTCCTCACCCCCATCCTCACCTCCTCACCCCACCCTCACCTCCTCACCCCCACCCTCACCTCCTCACCCCAATCCTCACCTCCTCACCCCAATCCTCACCTCCTCACCCCCAATCCTCACCTCCTCACCCCAATCCTCACCTCCTCACCCCCACCCTCACCTCCTCACCCCCAATCCTCACCTCCTCATCCCCACCCTCACCTCCTCACCCCAATCCTCACCTCCTCACCCCCAATCCTCACCTCCTCACCCCCACCCTCACCTCCTCACCCCCAATCCTCACCTCCTCACCCCACCCTCACCTCCTCACCCCCAATCCTCACCTCCTCATCCCCAATCCTCACCTCCTCACCCCAATCCTCACCTCCTCACCCCCACTCTCACCTCCTCAACCCCATCCTCACCTCCTCACCCCCACCCTCACCTCCTCACCCCCAATCCTCACCTCCTCACCCCCACCCTCACCTCCTCACCCCCAATCCTCACCTCCTCACCCCCAATCCTCACCTCTTCACCCCAATCCTCACCTCCTCACCCCCACCCTCACCTCCTCACCCCCAATCCTCACCTCCTCACCCCCAATCCTCACCTCCTCACCCCACCCTCACCTCCTCACCCCCAATCCTCACCTCCTCATCCCCACCCTCACCTCCTCACCCCCAATCCTCACCTCCTCACCCCCAATCCTTACCTCCTCACCCCCACCCTCACCTCCTCACCCCCAATCCTCACCTCTTCACCCCCACCCTCACCTCCTCACCCCCAATCCTCACCTCTTCACCCCAATCCTCACCTCCTCACCCCCACCCTCACCTCCTCACTCCCAATCCTCACCTCCTCATCCCCAATCCTCACCTCTTCACCCCAATCCTCACCTCCTCACCCCCACCCTCACCTCCTCACCCCCAGTCCTCACCTCCTCACCCCCAATCCTCACCTCCTCACCCCCAATCCTCACCTCTTCACCCCAATCCTCACCTCCTCACCCCCACCCTCACCTCCTCACCCCAATCCTCACCTCCTCACCCCCAATCCTCACCTCTTCACCCCAATCCTCACCTCCTCACCCCCACCCTCACCTCCTCACCCCCACCCTCACCTCCTCACCCCCAATCCTCACCTCCTCACCTCCAATCCTCACCTCCTCACCCCCATCCTCACCTCCTCACCCCCAATCCTCACCTCCTCACCCCACCCTCACCTCCTCACCCCCAATCCTCACCTCCTCACCTCCAATCCTCACCTCCTCACCCCCATCCTCACCTCCTCACCCCCAATCCTCACCTCCTCACCCCAATCCTCACCTCTTCACCCCAATCCTCACCTCCTCACCCCCACCCTCACCTCCTCACCCCCACCCTCACCTCCTCACCCCCAATCCTCACCTCCTCACCCCCAATCCTCACCTCTTCACCCCAATCCTCACCTCCTCACCCCCAATCCTCACCTCTTCACCCCCATCCTCACCTCCTCACCCCCATCCTCACCTCCTCACCCCCAATCCTCACCTCCTCACCTCCTCACCCCCAATCCTCACCTCCTAACCCCCACCCTCACCTCCTCACCCTGACTCCTGTGCTCTCTTGTGCTCACTCCACTCCCACCATGTGGGTCAGTCTGGCTTGGCAGGATCTGACCTCAGGGCCTTTACACTGGCTGAGCTCCTAGCTGGAATCCCTTCCTCAGAATATCCTACTGGCCCACACCTGTGCTTGCTTCTCTCTCCCTCCCTTCCTTCCTTCCTTCCTTCCTTCCTTCCTTCCTTCCTTCCTTTCTCTCTTTTTTTCTCTCTTTCTCTTTCCTTCTTTCTTTCTTTCTTCTTCCTCTGTCCCTCCCTCCCTCCTGTCCTTCCTTTTTTTTTTTCTTTACAGCACTGGGGTTTGAACTCAGGGCTCATACTTGCTAGGCAGGCACTCTTCCTCTTGAGCCACTCCTCCAGCCTGGTTCCCAGAGTTTGGGATCGCAGAGACAGAGAACATTTCAGAATGAATGTTGTGCACTCATCTCGTCATTTTCATCAAGTGTGTTCTTCAAACAAACAATAACATACGTACTGTTGGCGCCACGGTTTAATCAAACAGTGATCATTTTTAATATGAAGAAGTTCAAAGGATGTAATTTTAAAATAAAAGACCCTTCTTAGTCAGGAATAGTGATACATGCTTGTAATTCCAACCCTTAGGAGACCGAGGCAGGAGGATCACAAGTTTGAGGCCAGCGTGAGCGACATAGCTAGACCCTACCTCAAAACAAACAAGTAAACAAACAAAAAAGCAAAACAAGACAGTTCTTTAGACTAAATACATGTAGCCATAAAAAGCATAATAAAACAGCCTACACTGTCCTTCTTGGTTTTCGTTTCCTTGAAGTCTGGGCTAAATGGCAATCCTGGCTGTGTGAGCTTGCAAGAGTTATTTATCCTCTGTTCTAGCTTCCCCATGTATAAAATGGAGGCGAGAAGAATAAATGAGATCTAAACTGACTGAAGGGCCCAGCATGTGCCTAGCATAACAAGTGCTCAAAAAAATTAAAAGATTATTTTTGTTATTAAAAATGCAAAAAGAAAAAAGAAAAGAAAAGGTGTGTGGTGTGCCCCTGGGGTGGGGTTTGGGGACCCTTCCCCAGGCCAGAGCAGGAGAAGGGTGGGTGTAGGCTGATGTCAGCAGGAGTGAGAACTGGCCTTCTGCTCAGGGACAAAAGTGGGAGCCCAGCTGACCTTTTGGGAGGCTTTGTGAAATCGTCCCCCAGCAGGAGGCATCAGGGGAGGACGAGGCTGGGGTGGGGGGACGGGGAAGGGGCGACTGCAGATGGGCCTAGCTTCCTTGTCCTGCCTCTGCCCACCTGGGCTGACGAGAGCACAGTGATGGTTTCGGGCTCTCACCCTGCTCTTCGCCTCCTAGGCTGGGCCCCATCTTGGGCCCCAAAGCTTTCCCCAAGCTGGTGGGGATCCTGCCGGCCTTCGCCTCCCTTCAGCACCTGGAGTGAGTATGGCCCTGGCCTCCCCACCTTGGCCTCTGACCCCCCAGACCCTAGCCATGTGCTGAGATCTTCTCTTTGTTCCTCTTTGTCTCTGTCCCCCACTGTGTCCCCAGCGTGGCCTGGGTGAGGGACCGATGGGAATTCCCAGTAACAAGAATGTTTGGGGTCATTGGGGAGCTTTACAAGGGCGTTGTCCACCCCCTGGGGCTCCTGAGTGGAGCAGAACTCCGTCCACCTGCCCCTCACTGGCCAAATGGCGCCCCCTGATGGTGACGACCTGCCCTTGAAGACTAGGAGGGGCTGGCCACCGGTGGTGTCTCCAGGGCTGGGGACTGGAGGGTCAGGAGGGTCAGGCTGACCTGACGCCCCTCCCCCTCTGATCCCCCCCCCCCCCGTAGCCTGGACTCCCTGAGCGAGAACAAGATCGGGGACGAAGGCGTCTTGCAGCTGTCGGCCACCTTTCCGCAGCTGAAGGCACTGGAGACCCTCAAGTGAGTTGAGTCCCCTGCTGCTGGGTCCCAGGGCCAGCGGCTTTCTGGTTCTTCATCTGTTCCCTCATCTCCAGTCACTTAGCTTCTGGCCACTCGTCCAGTCATTTCTATTTAATCGTCAATCATGTACAAATCCAATCCACACATATTTAAGGAGCACTCGTGGTCCCGAAGATCCAGCTTTCAAAACCACGAATTCCCCAGGTCCCAGGATCTTGAATTCCAGGGCACCCGCACAGTAACCCAGTGACAGCAAGGTTATCATCAAGACAGTGCATTTAAAAACTGTTTCTGCAGAAGGATCAGCTTGGTGTTTTTCACCAAAACTATCAAAATCTTGCTGTCTTGGTGTGGCATGCCTGTAATCCCAGCTGGACAACTTAGCAAGTCTCTCTCTCTCTCTCTCTCTCTCCTCCTGTCCACACCTTGTTCTGTCATCCTACTCAGGCCGTAATGAGACCCTCTTTTAATTTTTGGTGGCACGGGGATTTGAACTCAGGGCCTGGCACTTGCTAAGCAGGCACTCACCACTCAAGTCACGCCCCTCCTCTGTTTTTGCTTTAGTTATTGTTCAGGTAGAGTCTCAGTTTCTTCCTGGGGTTGGCCTTAGATTTTAACCCTCCTATCCATGCTTCCTGAGGGGTTGGGATGACAGGCCAATGCCACCATGTCTGGCTTATTTGAGATGGGGGTCTCACTAACTTTTTGCCACCATCCTTCTGATCTCTATCTCCGGTGTAGCTAAGATTATAGGCATGAGCCACCACTCCCAACCTGACAGGCCCCTCTTCTTCATAAACTGTTAGTGTGGGTATATCCACAGCACGCCCACAGCTCACTACCCAGGACCACCCTCGAGGTCAGCTGTCACATGTTCCCGACTGCAGGCCACTCTGCGAGAGGTAGGCAGGTGGATGCTGCGGGGAGGGGAGCACACATTTGGTCCTGAGCCGCCCCCCCTTGCTGTGTCTTCCAGCCTGTCCCAGAACAGCATCACAGATGTGGGTGCCTGCCAGCTTGCCGAAGCTCTGCCCTCCCTTGCCACGACCCTGCTGAGGCTCAGGTGAGCCGGGGCTTGGGGAGGCCGGGGAGCCCCTGGTGCCGGCTGCAAGGGCCGACACCCCGACCCTAGACGGACTCACTGTAGACTGTTACGCTGCATGACCCAGGAGGCTGGGGGACAGCAGCCTAGAGCCTAACTGGAGTTGGCGACAGGACCCAGGGAAAGAAATCTGGGCAAGTTGCTCACCGTGCTGAGCCTTGGTTTACTCGTCTGGAAATGGAAAGCGTGTGTCACTATGTCAACCCTAGCGAGCTGTAGGTGGTGCCCCCTTCCTGGGCTGGACTCAGGATGGAGGATTCTGGAAGGAAATTGTGCCTACAGTGCCACCTGCTGGTGTACCTGGGCATAGCCCCACTTGCTTTGGAATTCCTTCCTGGGTGCCAGAGCCTAACCAGTAGCTTGGCACAATGTCCCTCTCCATCCCCAGCCTTCTCCTGCTGAGGACACATCCCAGTAAAGATGGCTCTGCCATCCCTGTCGATGTACCCATTCGAGTGTCCTAACAGCCAGGACCGCCTTCCTTGTGCGGATGAATGGGTGTGCACTGCACAACTCATGGTCTGTGTGACAATGGTGCCTCCTGCAGAGCTGGGCCAGGCACCCGATATTCCCTACCACGAACCCTGGGCCAGAACCTGTGCGAGGATTAGCGATGTGGCTGTGAACAACACAGACGGGGTTCTTGCTTTCAAGTTTCTTGCATAGGAAAGTAAGGCTATAGCTGGGCACGGTGGCTCACACCTGTAATCCTAGCTACTGAGGAGGCAGAAATCAGGAGGAGCATGGTTCAAAGCCAGCCCGGGAAAATAGTTTGGGAGACCCTATCTCAAAAAAAAAAAACCCTTCACAAAAAAGGGCTGGTGGAGAGGCTCAAGTGGTGAGCACCTGCCTGGCAAGCCTGAGGCCCTGAGTTCAAATCCCAATGACATAAAAAAAAAAGAAGTAAGGACGTGTAAATAAAATATTTTCAGATAGTTCTGGGAAGGAAACTAACAAGGACCCAGTTCACCAGGAAGGGCAGGGTGCTCTGAGAACGTGGCCACGCCATGGGGAATGGCTCTGCATGAAGAACCGTAGCTCATGTTGAACCAGCTCCTTCCATCATTGCTCCTCCCTGCCCATTTCAGAGATGAGTAAACTGAGTCTTGGGGGAGTTCAGTGACTTGATCACACGGGCAGAAGAGGCACAGTTGGGGCTGGAACCTGGGATGTCACTCCACGCTCTCAGCCAGGAAGCCACTGCTTCTCTGGAGTTTCTGTGTGACCACACAGGAATGGCCTCAGCTCTCTGGGCCTTGGTCTGCCCCTCTGTAAAATGGGATGGTGATCCCAGTGGAGTCTGGATCTCGCTGGGCCCTGACCACCCCCCTCCCCGGCACCCCCATGTCCTTCCCCAACCGTCCCCTGCCTCCTGCAGCTTGTACAATAACTCCATCTGCGACGCGGGAGCCGAGAGCCTGGCACGTGTGCTTCCCGACATGGGGACGCTGCGGGTGATGGAGTGAGTGTGGGGGCTGGCGGGGGGCCGGGGGGGGGCTGGTGCTGGGCCCAGGGAGGCCGGGGCCTCCTGCTGGCCTCATGGGAAGAGCCTCAGGTTGGTTTTGGTTTTTTTTTCTGCAGCGTCCAGTACAACAAGTTCACAGCCGCAGGTGCCCAGCACCTGGCTGCCAGCCTGAGGAAGTGCCCGCACGTGGAGACCCTGGCGTGAGCCTCCAGGGCCCCGGTTGTGAAATGGGGGAGGGTCTGTGGGGTCAAATATCAAGACGTAAGAAGCTTTAGGCCAGTCAGTGCTCACGGAGTGAGCCGTGTGAAATCGCCTGCGTTCAACCATTCCTGGAACACAAGATCGCCAATTTCGTATAGTTCAAATACAGTATTTTAGTTTTACTTTTTTGACACAGGATCTTGCTATGTAGCTCAGCCTGGCCAATCCTGCTTCAGTGTCCTGAGGGCTTTAGTTTTCTTCTTCTTTTTTTTTTGGTGGCACTGGGATTTGAACTCAGGGTCTCACACATGCTAGGCAGGCGCTCTACCACTTGAGCCACTCCCTCAGCCCTTTTGTTTGTACTTTGTTTTTGAGATAGGGTCTCAGCTAACCTTGCCCAGGCTGGCCTCGAACGCTTGGTCCTCCGGACTCTGCCTCCTGTGTAGCTGGGATTGTAGCGTGCTCACTGCCCCCAGCTCTTTATACGCTTTCAAACACTCTTATCTCCTCAGTCTTCTAAGGTGTGTAGGATGGGTCTTACAGGGCCCGTTTCACACCCCTGAGGAAAGGAAAGCCAAGTGGTGATCAACATTTTTGAGGCCACACAGCCAGTCAGTAGCCAGGAAAGGGCCACAGAGCTCACAGGCCTCTGCGTTCCCCACACTGGTCGGTTACCTTCCAGGCGGGAAGTCGCCAAGGCTCCAGGCTGGGCAGAAGGAGTAAGGTTGCTTAGATTGGGGATCGGGGGCCATCTTGTCTCCTCTAACCTGGCCCTGGGCCCGTCCCCTGCAGGATGTGGACGCCCACCGTCCCCTTTGGTGTCCAGGAACATCTGCAGCAACAGGACTCTCGGATCAGCCTGAGATGACCATGCTGTCCCCTGGACAAGGTGACCAGGGTGGGCACTGCTGGGGAAAACTCCAGGGTCGCCGTGTGTCCCTATGAAATGAATCCATGAAAAGAGGGTGGGGCCGGGGGGGGTTGCTGGGTGACCATTGGGCACTTTCCGTCCCCACACCTGGCCAGGTGAACTGTCCTCCGGGCCCTGGGGTCTTGGGCCAAGGATTCCCCTGTGGTCTGGCTTCAAGGAGGACAGGCTGAGCTGGCCCTCCACCTCCCACAGCCTGGGAACTGGGAAGTCCTTCCTTTGCACTTTAAATCTGTCCTGCTGCTATTTCAGCCGCTTGGCTGCTGTGATGGCCTTGGATTTGTCTTTGTAGGAACTCAGCCTCTGAGTTTCCTGCCTCCCACTAGGAAGATGACTGTCCCCAATCCCTGCAATCCCCCAGCCCCTCTCCCATGCCCCCTTCCAGAGTCAAGGCTACCCTCCTCAATCTTCCTGGCTTACCTTTCTCTCAGGTCACTGACCACACTGGACCTTGAACAGGAGACTCACTTGTGGACACAGCGCTTCTCTGGGTCCTATCCCATGAGCCCTGCATCCTGGCACCCCGCCCCTGCCAGCTCAGGGTTGGCCCCTGACCAGCTGCAAATGGACCCAGGCTCAGCTCCAGGCTCCTTAAGGGCCCAGGTAGATGCCAGCCCTGTTTGGCTGCTATGACCCCTGGCAGACTGATGGGCGCCTTGTGGCACCTATGGTCCACACAATGTCAGAGGCACTCCCTGCAGACACATGATACAGCAGTGACCAGGCCAGAGTGAGGGTCCGAGGCAGCCATGTTTCAGCCTGCCCAGGCTCGGCCAGCCCCACGAGGAAGTACTTGTCCATCCTCAGACTAGACACTGATAGACCCACTTGGCACTCCGAAGATACCGGTGGGCCACCCCCGCCTGCTGATCCCCAAATGTGACAGGGGTCCTGTGGCAGCTGCTGTCTGTCGGGAGCACTCACTACTTGCACTGACTTTTGGCTAAGGCCATGCTAGGCCCTGCCAGAACACTGCACCTTTGCTGGGCAGCATCAAATGTTACACTACAGGAGGAAGGAGGGGACAGCCTGGAACCGCTCCTGCCCTTCCCTTCGTTTTCACTACACTATAAATGTTCAACACAGGTCTGGGGCTTGATGTCACAGCATGGGTTCCATCCGGGGTACCTACTATGCTGGTCATGTACTGGGAAAACACCACTCCATACCATATCTGAGAACAATGTGGGCGTCAGTTCTGCTCACACAGTTCTGGCATTTGGGCAGGGTCCCAGGGACGACTCACCTGTGCCCCTGGGCATCAGCTGGGGCAGCTTGAAGCCAGCCTGGGGTCATTGGAAGGCTCCTTGGCCTGTGTGTCTGGTACGTGACATCAGCTGTTGGCTGGGGCCTCAGGTCCCCAAGAGGGATAGCTGGCTGGAACCGCTCTATGGGGCTGGTTTGGGCTTCCTCATAGCATGGGGGCAGGGTTGAAGGTGGGTGATCAGAGAAAGAGGAAAGAGGAAAGGGGAGACAGAGAGAGAGACAGAGAGAGAGAGGAGAGAAGAAAAAGAGAAGAGGAGGAGGAGAGGAAGGAGAGAGAAGATAGAAGGGAAGAGAGAGGCCATCAGAGACCACTTGTGTCCTCTTCATAGACTTAGAGGTCACATTGTCACATTGCTTCTGCCACATTCTGTTAGCTGCTGTGACAGAGCAGGGCCTCCTTGTCCCATCCTGTACCACGCATACACACGTGTGCACACACACATTCACACATCACATACACATATCACACACATCACGTCACACACACATGCATACATATCGCATACACATCACACACATATCACACGTGCATATCACACATACACATCACACATCACATGCATGCATACTTATCACATGCATATCACACACATCACACACATATACGCATGCACACACACATACACACACATCACACACGCGCACACACACGCATGCACGCATGGGCAGAGTCCACCTCCACTCATGTCCTGTCTTTTTGGAAGGTTTTCTTCTTGGCCTCCTCACTCTGGGGTGGAGGGAGAGGCAGAGGCATTGTCAGCTGTCCTGCAGGGATGTCTCCCTTCACGATGGTGCAGCCCTGGCCCAGGAGCTGGTTGGTCCTCGCCAAGTCGGAAAGGTGCCCTGGCTGCAGCAACCAGAAAGGGCCCACAGCTCCATTTTCCACTCAGCCGGCCACCAGTGAGGCTGTTGCTGTTCTTCACTAAGGCCCTGCCTGCTTGGTCAGAGTGCTGATCCATCCATCCGTCAGTCTGTCTGTCCATCCATGCACCCATGCACCTGCTGGTCGTGTGAGCCATCTGTTCACTGCCAGCCTGCCAGCCCTGAGCTCCCAGGACCAACCTGGTGCCCAAGTTCTGTTCCTCTCTCCAATAAGTGGGAGTTGGGGACAGGAGGTGTCTGCCCGAAGTATTTGCCCAGTGCCTGAAGAGGACTGCGTTGGCCCAGCTGCAAAGGGCGTCAGTGCTGTGGTCCAAGTTTGGGTTGTAGATAGCTCAGCGGCCTGTTTAGGGTCTCTGCATCTGTGGCTCCACCGTGCGGCCTCGGGTGAGCGTGGAGCCAGTCTCCTAGGCAGGCGTCTGATGCACCCATCAGCCAGGTGGGCACACCTGTGTCCTCTGCTTTTCTCCTTTCGGAAATGACAAAATGAGGTCAGAGACTAATTATTCATGATGAGTTTTCACGATGGCCATGGTGAGCCAGCACGAGACCATGGTGAGCACCTGATCAATCTTGGTGACTGTGACTGCTATGCCAGCCGATGTGCTAAGCCCTCCCACTCCACAGGGAGGTAGCCCAGGGGTCAGGAGCCCAGACTAGAGCTGGACCATCTGGCCTCCGTGCCAGCCTGACACTTTCTTATGGAAGTTACTTCTCTGAGCCTCGGCCTATACAATGGGCGAAATCCCAGTACCTTCTTCACAGGGTCCTGTGAGGGTCCAGTGAGCAGAAGCCTGGCACACAGCTCAGTCTTTTCGTGGCCCTTCTTTCATCCGGCCTTGTCTCATTCTTGCTTCTGCCTGGAATGTTTGTCCTTCACAGGGCTGACTTCTGGCTCTCTAGGACTCACTCTGGGGGGTCGGTCTATCTGTCCACTGTACTCCACACAGAGCCCCTCTCCCACCCGATCACTAGATTATCTTCACACTTATTTGTGTCACCTGCTCCTGTCGTGGGATGGGACGTGCGTTCCTGGAGGGCAGGGAACTAGCCTGCTTTCTTCACTGCTGAGCTTTGTGTGCCAGCAAGGGCCTTTGCTTTATCCATTCGACAGCTGTGTACTAAGTGCACAGAGGTAAGATGTTCCAGTTTCCTGAGCTGGCAGGTTGGTCTCTTAGAAAATTTAAGTGGCTATATGGACAGGGCAGCCAGGTGTGGTTGGGCAGTCTGTGCACTGTGCAAAGGCATCTGGCCAAGGGGGTAGATGAGGACTGAGCACCGGACTGAGCTCTGCTTGACAAGTTGAGAGTCTTGGTGTGGAGCTGCCGTTTTGTAATTAACACGCAGTCATCCTAACAGGTGGGTAAATGACCCCGTGCCAGAGACGGGACATTTAGAGGTCGTATCTTTACAAGAGAAGGAGTCGATGTGAACTTGACCTCTGACTTCTTTGGAGAGTCTACTGGTGAGGGTGCCCTGTGCTGGAATTGGTCTCTGAGCCCCGACCTATGGGGCCGGAAGTGAAGCTCAGGCATGGCCACGTCTGCAGGGTCCGTGCACCTTCTCAACCCTCACCTCTCCCCCAGGCCTGTCTCCCAGCACAAGCCCCTCCCTCCCTGTGCTCGCTGTTTTCCTGGTCCTCTCCACTGTCTTCATGTCCCTTTCCTTGGAGTCTCAGGAAGACACAGCAACATGGGCTTCCCCTAGGGTCACATCCACCCTTCGGTCTCCTCGCCTGCAAAATGGGCCTCATTGCTATTTATGTTTTGTTTTGTTTTGAGACAGGCTATCACTATGTAGCCCATGCTGGCTTTGAGCTGGAGAGCCTCCTGTCAGCCTCCCGAGTGCTAGGATTACAGGTGTGCACCACCACACCTGGTTTCATAACCTGTTATATGTGAAGGGCCCTTGAAAATCTCTGGTGCTCTGAACATCAGAGAGAATTACCACTCTTTGCCTGACACTGCACTATTTGTTTATTCCCCTCCCTCCCTCCTGCCCCTCTTTATTGGAGGTCTGCCACCTGTCCATGGGGACTCCACACTGCCCCTCCCGTGGGATCCAGGTTCGAGTTTCACACGGCTGCTAGGCTTTTCCTAGCACATCCCAAAGGCTGCCCTTGGCCTGTCAGACTGGCAGAAGCTGAGGAGGGGCCAGTTGGGGAATCTCATGCTTACCCTGCTAGGGTGGCTTCTCCCTACTGGATCTCCAAACTGGGCCCTCTGACCTTTCTGCCCTCTGTCAACCACAAAGTCCCCTTTTCTAAAGTTCAAAGGAAATAAACCAGGCAGGGCACCAGAGGGACTGGAGTTGCATACATTTTTTAATTGAAATAAGTCAGCCTCCTAAGTATTGCTTTTACAGGTTTATCGAAATCAAGTATTCACACAACTCACATTTTCAAAAATATATTTCTGGCTGAGGAGCAGCATGGTATCCCCAGCCGGGATCTCAGTCCTGCCAACCTGATGAAAAACGAGCAACTTGCAATGATGAATCAAGCCCTACCCTGGCCCCCGACACATCCCCGGCCTCTTCCTCACACCACACCCTGAAGTAGTAACTAAGGCCAGCCTCAGGCCAAACCCAGCCAGGCATCAAACAGTGGCACTGGGAGTGGCTTTTGTGTGCGTCCTGATTTGAAGCATCTTCTTCGAGGGTAAGTATGGGAAGAGGTGAGGTCAGGGCTGAAGTGCAGTGAGGCAAACTCTGGCTGGGTTCCTGTAAACACCCATTGCAACAGCGCACAGTCATGAACCAAGGCCAAGACCACGTGGCCTGAGTGCAGGGGGAGGTCTCCAGATGCTGGTGACCTTCCCCATTCTGCAGAGGCAGGCACCTTCCCCGCCCTGGCACACAGTCCCAATCTCGCCTTCTCTCCTGGGTCGGCACGGAAGCTGCTCTGTTGGCACGAAGCTTTCGGGGGAAGCAGGCCTAACAAGAAGACAAAGAAGTGTTACCAACTGGAAGGCAATGTCCTTCCACAGGCCTGACAAAGCCAGCCCAGGAGGCTGTGGTGGGGCAGGGAGGGCTTCCTCAATCCTGCAAATCCCAGGAACCCCTGGGATCCTGGGCTCAGGCTGGGACGCTTTGCCATAATTTTTATTACAGATGTTTTTCAATGGGTTTGCTTCATTTCTGAGCCCTGGGGCTGGAGAGCCAGGTGATTTGACATGGAATGGGGATGCTGGGGCCACAGGAAGGGGTGCAGCCACAAGGGGTGCCACCAAGGATCCACTGGCCAGCCTGAGGCTCCAAGCAGCTGAGTAAGCGCAAGAAGCCAGGGTTTGGCAGCTCCTCCTGCCTCGCCCAGAAAGCGCCCTGCAGTCTGCAGGAAGGCTTTTGCTGCTGCCAGGCTACCCAGCAGCCCCTCTGGGCTCTTGTTCCTAGGACACAGCATCAGTCCTAGGCCCAGCCTTGGCAGGTCCTCTTCTCATCCCCTCTAGTGAGCAGCTGCTGCTGGCATCTCTGCCGTACCTTGCGTGTCCAGGCCTACCCTCCTCATGGCCCCCTCACCAATGCCATGTCTTGTAGCGTCTTCCTTCTACAAATTTATCAAGCATGGAACAAAAGTGCTATGCTAACACACAACATGACCTGGGCAACAGGACATTGGAGCAGGAGAATCCAAGGGTGTAGAGGACTGTTCTGGGCACTGCATTTTCGAAGCATCCCTGGCCCCTATCCACCAAATGCCAGTAGCACTTCCAGTCGCTATAATTACTAAAAATGTCTCCAATCCCATTTCCAAAGCCCACCTAAGAGGACAGGACCATTTCCACCGGGAACTATGTATCGCCCCATTTTACGGGCTAAAATACGGGGGCTCAGAGAAGCCAAGTGACCCGCCTGTGGGGGCGTAAGAGTGGGAGGCACAGCAGGCACATCGCTCAGGATGACGGAAATGCTCACAACAGGGAGGCTACCACTTCCCAAGCTCTTGCTCTGAGCCATGGGCCTGGAACAGAGCTTGGGGGTGCTCTGCCCCCCTCCACTCACCCTTCCCAGCACAATGGCCTGGCAGCTCAGCTCCACTGGAGGGGGGCCTCTTTCCTGGGGCCTTTCTTTCCGCGTTTGGAGCCTGCCTGGCCCTGGCTATAAGCGCAGGAGAGCTGAAGTCTCTGCAGCAGCTGCTCTCCACCAGGCAGGGCTGGAAAGGTGTCGTGCCAACACCCAGCTCCCCCACCTGTGGCTAGGGCAGCCTGTGCACCCACTCTGGCTCCCTAGCAGGACACAGCCCTGGGCGGCAATGGCAGCTTCCCGGCCAACACGCCCCTTCCGGTCTCCCTTCCCTCCCCATCTCATTTCCCACTCTGCACCAGGAGTTCCTACAATCCTCTCTAAGTAAGCAACTTCCACTTAAATCCTGTCTCATGGTTATTCCATTCCCGCCTCCTAACGAGGATGCCCGCGAATTAGGCTCCATTATGACTCCACTTGCCAGGGGAAGAATCGAGGTTCAGAGAGGGTAGCACACTCGTCTAAAGATGCTCAGCCCAGAAGTGCTGGAGCCTAGCTCTGACCCCAGGGCTAGGCAAGTGCTGTGCCACTAGGCTACATCCTCAGCTCCACCTCAGGTTTTAAATACTGTTGAGCAGCCCATGCAGCAGACCCTGGGTGCAGTGTGATTGGCAGAGCAGCTCTAGCTGGCGAGACACCCACTGAGCATTTTCAGTCCACGGGATCAGACCTGCTCCCTTGACAGGGCGCAGCCAGGACGATGACTGAACACTGGCAGCAGGCCTAAGTCACAGAGAAGGGCATCCAGGGAGACAGAGGGCTGGGGAGAAGAGGGCCTGGGAAGAGAGACTGGGGCAGGTCTAGGGGCCTCCTGTGGCTCAAAACAGGGTATGAGGGGCTGCTGTGAGACGGGGACAACCTGGCCATGTTTTCCTGTTCTCTGCTAGCAGCCAGCTGGCAACATATCCTGCCACTGCTCAGAAACCTTCCCTGGCTCCCACTGACCCGAGGCAGGCCTTTCCAGCCCTGGGGCCTCTCCCACTCCCACGGAGAGCCTGCGGGAAGCAGAGGCTCAAGACTGGGCCTCACGGAGCACAGTGTCCTAGAAAGGTGTGGTGGGGTTCCCCTCCTGCCCTGCCAGAGCCCAGATGATGCTAACCTCCCTCCTCCAAGGACTCTGAGGGAGGGGAGTCACAGTGGCGCTGAGAGCCCTGGTGTCCAGGAGCTGGTAGCAGAATTAGCTAATTGTGAGTCACCCTCCCAATGCCCACTATGGGGAACCCCAAGGCCCAGGGGGAAGCCCCCATGAGGCCTCACTCCCGCCAGCCTGTGACTATAAGATCCCAGCAGCTTAGGGGTCTGGCTGGGCTCCATTGCCTCACGCAAGCCCATGTCTGTCTGTCCAGCCCTTGTCCTGGATCTAGCTGGGTGGACTACGGCATTTCCTTCCATGTGTTGATCTGCAGGGTTGCCTTATAGTGACAGCCAGGGAAGCCAGGATTCTGATCCTGGTAGCCAGAGGCTCTCAAAACATTTATTTCGCTTTAAAAAGAGCTGGTGCACGGGTGGGGATGGTGGCTCAGCAGTACAGCACTTCCCTAGCGTGCAAAAGACCATGGGTTCAATCTCCCAAGCCTAAAAAAAAAGCTAAGAAAAAGAAGTGATTTAAAGAAAAAACTGAAGACAAGGTCAAAGATGAGCAGGCGGAGTGTCAACTGAGGCTTGGGACCCTGATGCACGCTGGTTCCACTCACTCCACAGCTTCGAATGAAGGGCCTGGGGAGGGCAGTGACCTGCCTAACATCACACAGCAGGCTGAGGACAGAGACATGACCCCAGGTTTCAGTGTGTGCAGCTAGAGGACATCCTGCATCACAGTCCCACCTGTGCCACCCACTTTGGCGATAAGAGACCAAACCCCTTGTTCCTCTGACGTGCGATGCAGCCTTGGCAAAGCCCCAATACCAAGCGCTGACAGCTGACATTTCTCAGCCTTCCCTTCCCCTCACCCTGTGCTGCCAGCTCTAACTCATGTCTTAGCTTGTTTCCTTAGAACTGCAGCAGCCCCCACCCCAGCATTGGGGCTCAGAGAGGTTAGGTGGAATGGGCAAGGCCACACAGCTTGTAAACACTGGCACCAGGTCTGAACCTCTGGGGTGTAACCCCAAATCTTTCACTCCTCTTGGTGCCTTAGGGTCATCCTTCTTCAGGTGAAAAGCATCCCAGAGCCACCGCTCATGGAGTCTAGGGCATTAGGGTTTGACAGGTGACTCACTGAGCACTAGTAACCTTCCATTACAAACCATTACAGCCACTCCCAGAGCTGAATGGAGGGAGTGGCCGGTGGCTCAAGTAGGCTGTCAGGATAGCAGTGTGCACCTGGTCCACTTCAAGCTGGATGGCTGTGTGGAGAAGCTGCTTGGGAGATGCTTGGCTTCAGTGAGGAGGGTCTGTGTCCTGGGGTGCTGGTAGGTGTTGCTGCAGACCTGCTGTCCTCTGGGGTGGCCAGTGGAAGCACAAGAATCTGCCTGTCTGGGTGAATTCCAGCTCTGCCTCCCCCTAGCTGTGACCTTAGGCAAGTCTTTCTCTCCAAAGACCTGGCCTTCTAGAAACCCACTATGCATCCCTTTCCCCATGTACCAATGACCAAAGAAGCAGCTGAAGACATGTCACCCAGACACAACCTGTCCAGTGTCTCCACTGCCTGCAGTCAGCAGGGTCCTGTGCCCTAGAGACTGGCCATCTCCCTGGTGGCTGCAAGGGCCTGGGAGAGGAGCTGCCTGTTCCCTCAGGAGTCCGTCTCTGAGGGGAAGCCAGTACCATCGGAGGAGTACAGGCCATTTTGTCAAGCTTGCATTCCAATTCCACGTTGGCAGTAAAGGTGCGTGACCACCAGCTGTGTGAAGACGCTCGGGTCTCGTGCCTCCAGCAGCCACTGACTCTGGCCTTTGGGAAGGGTGGCGTTTGTCCAACACCTTCATGTGTCTTGTCATATCAAGAACCACCCGAACTATTTATTTAGTGCAGGCCGAGCATCCCCTGTCCAAAACGGTCAGGAGAAGTGTTGCAGATTTCGGATTCTGGAATATTTGCACACATGCAGTGTGCATCTTGGAGAGGGGACCCAAGTCTAAACATGAAACTCACTGATGGGACACAAATGAAGCTAGACACCTTTAGACACATGCCTGAAGGGAGTTTTGTACTTTCACCTGCACTGACAGCAAGTTGTCACATGAGGTCAGGTGTGGAATTCCTACCTGTGGCACCATATTGGTTTTGGATTTGGGAGCCAGACATGGTGGCACTGTAAGGCAGATACTCTGCTCGAGAGGAGTCAGGAGGGTCATGGCCTGAGGCTACCACAGCAAAAGTGAAAGACTCTCCTGAAAAACAAACTCCAAGCACAAGGACAGGGGTGTGGCTCACATGCTACCAAAAAAAACAAAAACAAAAAAAGATTTTGGAGCATTTTAGATTAGGGATGCTTGACCTGTATTTCAGCACTTTTTATCTCTTAAATTTTAAAGGGAACATTTATGTCACTATAATGAATAAAAATAAACAAAAGGCAATGCTAAGAATACAAGGAGACGGAAACCACGTGTTCTAGGTCTATACACCTGGACTGCAAAGCTGAACCTGGGGCTGCTCAAAAGGAAGCAGGAAGTCCACAGAGCATCTCACTCGGGGAAGCTCACTCGGGAGAGTGCTGCTATGAGGTCCAACGCTGCCACCTCATAGCTGGGCATCTGGAGTGAGTCACTGAGCCGCCGCAAGCCTCAGTTTCCCTCCCATCTAATGGAGCTAACAAGCTGCCCAGCCAGCCTCATAAGGCAACAGTCAGGAGAAGCTATAGAGACGTGGGAGAGGAACTATTTTTAACCATGCAGCCACGCCTCCGCCAGGAAGGAATCCTGGTAATGAAGCCTTACCCTTGGGGCCTGGGATGACAGCTGAGGGGGCTCTAGCAT